ATTTATAGTAATTCCTATCATATAGAACAATTTTACAAATAATTTGACTTATTAATTCTACGTGGTAGTAACCCAGTTATAGTCATTAAAACATTATCATTATCGGTATTTGAATTTGATGATGAAGTGTGATGAATCGGCAAATATATTTGTCCAAATAAAAATATCTATTTCTGTTCATTGCCTAATGAAAACGAAAAAAAGACTGGTGAATCTGTGTAACTAATTTAGTAATTGAGTGTTTGTCGTAATTACTAGGGTATGTTTAACTTGGGATGAAATAGTAGTTATCAGACTTTTAGTGGTATAAAAGATTCTGCGACAAGCTGCGTTCGTAAAATAGCTATTTGTTATTTGAAGATAAATCAACTGACTTTCTAATATCAATATTATTTCATTTTCTTATATTAATGATAAAAAACAATCCATTTTGAAGTTTATTTGGATAGAAATTATTTCTAGAGATTCATTTTATGTTGATGGAAGTTATTTCTTGTCATAGATTCGATTATGTTGACTGTTGATTGATAATTAGTCTTAATTTAATGTACATTATTTAAAGCTGTATTACCTCCAACTGAATAAGGTCATCTATTTATTAACCCACAAAAATTATTTACCGATATTTCATCTATTGTATAAACATTGATTCATGCATTGAGAATGGACCAAAAAAAAAAAATGAAATGAGAGATGTAAATTACATATCTAATATGATGCCAATGGTATAATCGGGACCTCAGTTTTTCGAGCCATCCAAACAACTAATTGCTTTTTCCTGATCTTGCTAGTATTTCCCATGGACAAAGTGAAAAAACAGGCTGGAAATTCCTGACAAACTTTTTCAAGAGAGAGAGAGAGAAATGAGGTTTAACGTCCACTCGACACAAACTAGGTCATTTCGGGACTAACACATAGGTCAATTTTATTTCAATAATTCGCTTGCGCGTAGGGGTCTTTAGCAGTGGGAGGAAACCGAAGGACCCGGAGAAAACCCACGAGGTTGGATAGGCGACCCTACTCCTTGTCACGTACAACTGGGTAATCGAAATCCCGCCAGTTGACTCAATGATAGACCGTATGATACAGCACGGGCGTGCTAACCATTCGGCCATCCAACCCCCCTAAACTGTTTCAAACACGCAGTGAGCCTGTGTACGCTTTTTACTGCCTGGAAGCCACTGCGATTCAATGAGCCTGTGTACGTTTTTTACTGCCTGGAAGCCACTGCGATTCAATGAGTATGGTGATGGCTTACTTATCAATAGGTCAAGTATGATTTTTGGGACAAAACACCAAGATCCTGTATATACAACATTCTAAATTCCTTGACAGTAGGAAATAGGAATTAGCTGGAGTGCTGCTGTCCATGCAAAATTTCACTCATAATACAACATACTGGGGAGCCACAGTGGCTCAGTGAGTAAGATTTTGGCTCCCTAACCTTCAGTCCCGTGTTTGATCCCGCTGTTTGCCGACAAAGTTTGTCGGGATCTTCCAGCATGGTTCCTTCTTGTCATTCGTACAGGACAGAGAGGCTAGCAAGAGACAATGTATTCAGATGGGAGTAAAAAACTGAAGTCCCGTGTACACATTGACGTGTACTTAAAAGAACCCTTGGAAGTTGGAATTCAATATAAGAATTTCCCTCATAGCACACTGCATGATTGTCTTCATTAGCCCAGTCAGAGCAGAACATATACCGCATGGCCTATGCCCACCACCTTTTGCAAGGTACTTGTAGAAAATTAAAACATGTTAATCCACCATTTCTTTTCATTGGCTGTGCATGGAATATATCTTTAAAAACTGAAATTTGTTTATGATAACTATGATGGGTTTTGTTTATGTTATTCAGGTTTGAAGATTGATATTATTTTACTAAATTAAATAAAAGTCTTATCTAATGCGTGCATGCAGGAAATGGAAAATGATTTCATGCTTCAGATATCATTGAATTACTCTAGAAACTCTATCAAATACTGTACAGATTGAAGTTCAAGAATTAAATCAATATATTCTCAAGCAATTGACTGAACATTTCTTACATTTCCTCATAGAAAAGTTAAAAATTTATTTCTGTACCATGGCAAATGTTGCTGTACCAAATCATCAATTTCTGTCATAGAAAAAAATAATTAAATCAAAAAGTTGTATGCTTTAATGTGCTATACGTAACAAATTTACAGAAAATGTATTAAAAAAATCTTTTTTTTAAAATTCTGTACTGGTAGAAAGGTGGTCCACCAAATGCCTGCTCTACCCTAGAAAAATATTTGACCGTATATTTGGAACACAGCAGTTAGATCTTAAATCACTAGAGTATGTTTGACAAGTACTTGTCTGGATGGGATAAAAAAAAAAAGCTCCTGCATGCATGTAAAAGAATCCTTGACATTTGGAATTTGATGAAAGGCAGGTGGAAATGCCGCCATTTAGGCAAAATGTCCCTCATAGCACACTGCATGGATCTACCTATTATTTGGTTCATTATTAAATCTATTTAGTACAGACAAGTCATCCGAACCTTGATTTTATTAAAAGAATAATCTGATCAAAAACAAAAACGGAAGTAGGTTAGCAAGATTAGATTTTCATTTTCTCGCATGAAATGTTTGTATGTTGGTTATATTGGAATTTATTATACATTATGGATGATGGAGGGAGAATATTAACAGAAAATAGTCCCTAGAATATTGATGAAATGTAGCTTAACCCTAGCCTAACGCTTAAAACAAATTTTTACTTTCCAATCTGGATGTTTGCCAATAGGATTTTCAAATTACATTAAGTCTTATAAATCTGTGAATAAAATGCCACTAGTGTCATATAGTTCTATTCATATCAGTTGTTATAAAACCATATATCATTTAGATATTCTCTATTTTTATCCTGGTTCCTTTCTTGTTATGTATTTATATCACGTTCAGTCTTGTCAAATGTGTATATTGTCATAACAATTCTTATGCCAATTTGATTTTCTCTGATTCACTGATCACTGTGATTGGATTAAAGAATGTTTGAATAGATATTGAAATGTGGGTCAGTCCTGTTGCCGGCAGTGACATATATCTTCGACCAATGAGTGGCTTCGGCTTCTGAAAACTTGGTGAAATACATCTTCAACCAATGAGTGGCTTTGGCTTCTAAAAACCTACCCACATTTGTGTTCCATATAGTGGTGGATGTTGTGTATAAGGCAGGGTATGCTTACAACTCTTTCTAGAAGACCAGATACCACTTCTCATTAAAATGTAATCAAATTGATTATTTAACATTTAATTAAGAATAAAAAAAAATCAACAGTAAATAATCTTCAAGTTTGGATTCAATCGAAAGAAAGAGGCTCATTTAACGATCTCATTTAACGGAATATGTCTTAAATAAATGTTAAATCGGAAAGGTCAGAAAATCAAAACTATAACTCATTGATAGGAAATGATATACGGTTCAGCATCCTACTTTTCTTCCTCAAGAAGTCTAATGATGACGGTCATGATCATTGATGCAAGAATTAATCATACATGTCTACGGACACATTCTCTAACTTTATAAAATAAATTCACACGTGTAACAGATGATATTTCCTTGCTAAGAAGGTCATATCATAAATTATATACTATACAAGCCATTTGGCATTGATAGTGTAATAATTCACACTTTATTACACAGTGTAAAATGTCAACTACTTCTTAGCCATCTTTTTTCATTTTTTATCGAGTTCAATAAGTTGTTGCCGCTACAATATCCTATGTTTTTATTAACACCAACAAGATGCATGCAGAGAGATTACTTCCGCTGCATTAATTCCTCATCTTATCCATACTACGCGGTTTCCATGCGACCTTGAGTGTGAAATTATAAAGACTTGTGAGAAATCCTAACAGGAACTTCAAAGGGATTCATTTATTGTTGAGTGCCTCAAAAGTGTGTTTGACTGCAATTCGGTAATCACAATTGATGTCAGATTTATTCAACTCTGAAGGTACTGATCTTAGGTTCATGTCCGATCTTTTCGTTGTAATGATTGTTGGTTACAAGACATAAATAGCTTTCTTTCATTTTTATATTGTCAAATTCATAAACTTTCCAGAGATTAGGAATGAAGATTTGTTTCTGTACTTGCTCTTCGATCGAAACGTTGCCTAAATAAATTGGTGATTGTTCTAGTATACCGCTCAATCTAGTTTTTACTAAATGCATCTTAAAGGATTATTAAGATGTTTGATATTGGAAAGACGTGGTTCCAGAAAGGTCATTTGAGGACCAACATCAAACACACTTAGAATTATTGCCAGAGATAAAAATGTTGTCAATTCTTTTTTAATTCTTACCATTGAACTAGTGCTGTTGAAAGGAGAAATTTAGACATTTTTTTTTCACCAAAATATTATCTATGTATAGATATTTTAAAGGGATATTTTCCAATTCTAACAATCATAAATTGTGAAAGAAAATTCAATGAAACCTGATGGGTATATTTGTCTCCTCATATATTGTTTTATCTGTGTCACACATTTTTTGGGACACAATAACTCTGCTTCTAATTGAGATAGAATGTTCCAACTAGATGTTCATTAGGTGAGTGTCTTGCCGACTGTGCATAAGTCTGATGAAGAGCATTTACTATATAAAAAAGCCGTCCATTTGCCTGTTCGTTGGTCACACCTTTTGGAACACAATAACTCTGTTTCTGATTTAGGAATGCAGATACGAAATTTGATTTGTCAATGATTTTGGAGCACTAAAATTTGGATTCTTTGAAAACAACCTGGCGGATACTGGTAGTTTCGTTGACTAAGTTTGATAATGAGAATGTTCTTTTCAGGTTAAGCAGAGTAATAAGTAATTTGATTGCTTGATGCTGTATAGAAATAGAAATGTACAATTAAATAATGAGAGTCATCACTTTATTTTGGGATTAAAGTGGGGACATCAGCCTCAATGATTTTGACTTGTTGTTTTTTCAAGTCAGATAAATCTTAATCTTTTTATTTCAGATTTCACCATATTTATCGTCAGAAGTCCAAGGAACAAAGTCCGGGCGTCAACTTTATAATAAATTGGTTCATTTAGCCCAGATACACTATGATCTATCTTCAACCACAGTTACAGGAATACCAATGAAGGTAATTAACATTCTCAAATATAAGAATTACCAGAATTGATTTGTTACTTCTTTCACTAAATGCTCAAATTTTTTGTGGGGACCAATTTTAGATCTACCACAAATGATTTGTTAGTTCTGATCTGGTTAATAAGCTTCTACACAATGACATACAGGATGCAGCTCGACCCTTTCTTTACTTTGGAGGAACAGTGTCTAGTCATTTGGATGAGATGGTAAAACTAACTAAGATCCTGTGTAAATGTTGACATGCACATAAAAGAACCCTTTATAGATGAAGAATTGAAATGAGAGAAGGCTTAAGCACGGCTGTCCAGACAAAATTTATCTCATAGCACACTGCATGGTGTATACCTCCATATGATTCATGAAGCTTAACTGTTAAAGATGCATTATTCCAGAGCTACATCTGCCTATTGCAGGTCTTTCTTTAGACCTGAAATGTTATATAAATTATTAATTAGACATTTATTAACTGGCCAAGACCAAAATCAACTCTTGATGCTGTTTTATGATCTAGATTTTCAACAGATTTAAATACAATTTGCAGTTAATGATTTCATTTAAAAATGGATAATCAAGACTTTGTTTACTATTGTAACATTGATAGCAATGACAATAGAGACTGTGCTATTCTCCAAACAGCCCTAATGTTACTCTGAGTGAAGTAATTTAACTGAAATTTCAATATATTCCCATTTCATCATCTAGTTTTTAACTATAATATAGTGAGAACTAATCTTGCATAATGCATCTTTAAAATATAACTGATTTTGTGTTTCACCTTCGACAAAATAAGCCAGAAATTAAAATAAAATTAGTAAACAAGCATATGAAATTGAAAATTCTGACAGTTTCAGCTTTGTTATAACATTTCCAAATAATATCCTATGTTTACTCTAATGTATATATTGTTAAATGTTCACAGCCCTTATTTGGCCAGCGCTAGCCAACTAATTTAAGAAGTGGGATTTTCAAATATTTATTTGAGAAAATGTTGGATAAAATCAGCTTTAAATGCCTGTGATATATATTATATGGTAAGATTAAACATGATCTGAGTTATATAGATTGATAAAAATGTTACTACTTGAATAATGACAAAGACCAAATAATCATTTAAATACTTATCAAGTCTAGCAATCAAAAGTGTTTGTCAAAAACCACGTATGAAGATTCTATTTAATGTCAGTTAATTCTTGTTAAACAAAAAAAAATATAATTAGCCAATATGTGTACGTGAGTTTACAAAACTAGCACCATAAATACTTGATTCCTGCTCACAAATGGAATGTTTTTTCTGGAGAATAACCAGGAGATAAAATCCATTAACAATTTACGTTCTTCTCGCTCTTATCTCTTGTCCTCTAGTTATATCAACGATTGAACTGAGTGTCAAATCATTGTCTGACCCGTGTAATATTTTTACTTTCTTTACATTAAAGAGAGATTTGTGTTTTTATGCCTGTAGATAAACGCATTTAGGCTTCAAGGCGTCAGTCGGGATGCCAGATTAGAGTACTGTATTATTTATGTCATGAATCGGTTAACAGTAACACTGAGGGAAAGACTTTTGTTGGGATGTTCTGCTAGGCTTTTATTATCTCGATCAGGCATCTAAGTAAGTGGGTATCCATTCATAACAAAATGGTGCAGAACTTCTGATGTTTGACGCCATTCGACCACTTAACGCTTCATCCAAACAGACATCCTCTTGATTATAAAGACAAAATCATTTCTCTTTTTGGTGCCAAACCATGCCCCGACTTTCTGCATTAATCCAAAATCCATTCTGTGCGTCAGGTAGTCAATTTAGAGTAATCAGACTTGTTAATGCTGTCAGTAAACACAAGATACGGCTCCGTATTTTATTACTTTCTAATACAAACAACGAAAAACAGGGAGGATTTGACACAATTTGGCTATTTCACATCAATATTTAAAATTTTAGAAAATATTTTAGGTTAAGGATGCATTATGTAAGATTTAGACAAAAAGCTAACAGTTCTCACTATAATAGTTAAAAAAAATAGATAATGAAAAGGGATACGAACATGTTGAAAATTTCAGTCTAATTACTTCATGTTGAGTGAAGTTATCGTCGTTTGCAAAACAGAGAGTGAAATCTCGACCGTCATTGCTACCCTTGTTACGATAATAAGCAAAGTCTCGATTATCCATTTATAAATTGAATCATTAACTGCCAATCATATTTAAATCGGTTGAAAATTAAAAACAATGAATGTTCTGGAGAGTTGATTATGGGCTTGTCATGTAATTAAATGTCTAATTAATGATTTATATTACATTTCGGGCCAAATGATAGATCTACAATAGTTATTTGATTTTATTTCCTCTTTATGTTAAGAAAAATAATTTTTTTTTTTTTAAAATCACTGTGATGTACATTCAACTAAGAAATTGTCATAAACCAAGAAAGTGCAAGAAAGGAGTGATATTAGATGTTCTAGACAGAGTAAGCTTACTCTGCCTCATGTATGACACCTATCAGACAATCACTACTTATATGTACAGTTTATATTAACAAAGTGATTGTTTGGATCTGGAGAGAGAGAGAGAGAGAGAGAGAGAGAGAGAGAGAGAGAGAGGGGGTTTAACGTCCACTCGACACAAACTAGATCATTTCGGGACTAACATATGGTTCAATTTTATTTCAATCATTCGCTTGCGCGTAGGGGTCTTTAGCAGTGGGAGGAACCGGAGGACCCGGAGAAAACACACGAGGTTGGACAGGCGACCCTACTCCTTGTCACGTACAACCGGGGATTCGAAACCACGCCAGTCGACTCCATGACAGACTTTATGATACAGCGCGTGCACGCTAACCATTCAGCCCCCCGGATCTGGAGTCAAATGCCCAGTACGGCCAGTAGTTTAATTGCAAATTACCACAAAGGTTTGTTAGGCCACAAAAATGTACACTTCTAAAACACCTTCTAAAATTTTGCTTCTTATTTCTCAGAAGAAAAAAGGTAAACGTAAAAAAATAGACTTTGTTTTTCTCTTCTCAAAGGTTTTAAATTTTGAAAAACTATAAATTTGATTTGTCCGTAGGCATGTGAACTCCTCAAGTTAGAATTAGTATTAGTTGTTCTAATTAGCATACCCTGTCTCAAACCATGGACAGTATGTACTATAAATATTAAACATACCCTGCTTAATAATAATAATAATAATAATAATTTCTTCTATAGTGCATTACAAGGCAACATATAAAATGGCACAATATCTCAATGCGCTTTACATTTACAATATAAAAAAATTACAAGACAAAAAAGGAATTAATCGAAGCTAAAATAAGAACATATCAAAGAAATTAATTCATAAAATATCATTTAAAAAGCATAGTTTTAATATTCGTTTTAAAAACATTAATGTTAGTTTCATTGCACAGCTTGTGTGATAAGGAGTTCCATAGGGTTGGAGCATACTGACTAAAAATCTTGTTGTCATAAAATTTATTTTTCGATTTCTTAGTAGGATATAGAGGGCGATTGGTTAAACCTAGTCATAACAGTTATGAGTTCATTAAGATAGGCAGGGGCTTTATTATTTACAATTTTGAAAATGGTTAAAAGCACTTTAAATTCTGTGCGTTCAACAATGGGGAGCCAATGTAATTCGTAGAGTATAGGGGTAATTGGCTCAAACTTCCTTGTTAGCGTAACAAGTCTGGCTGCTGCATTCTGCAAGCTTTGGAGTTTTTTCATCTGTGACACACTAATTCCATGGTATAGTGAATTGCAGTAATCCAATTTCGACGTTATCGTGTGTATATATATATCTTATCTATTATCATAAATATACCTTAATAGTCAAATATTTTGAAGCCCTTGCAAACTACAATATTGTGAAAATTGAATTTCTAAAATTAACAGGGGGTTGGATGGCAAAATGGTTAATGCATGCGTCGTAAATCGTAAGGTCTGTCATTGAGTCAACTTGTGTGGTTTTGATTCCCCGGTTGTACGTGACAAGGAGTAGGATCGCCTGTCCAACCTCATGGGTTTTCTCTGGGTCCTCCGGTTTCCTCCCACTGCTAAAGACCCCTACACTCAAGCGAATTATTGAAATAAAATTGAACCATATGTTAGTCCAGAAAAGACCTAGTTTGTCTTGAGTGGACATTAAACCCCATTTCTCTCCCTCTCTCTCTAAAATTAACATCAGTCCAATAATAGTTCAATTCCGTTCAGTATTACAAAGATACAATCTGATTAAAATCAGATCTATATTTCGTTTTGTTTTTTTATACTTTCGATGGTCTACACTATATGAAGATCTGACCGGTTGTAGCCGTAACAGACCGTTTCATTGGCTAATCTCTCACACCATTCAGAACACGTCAATGATAACAACTCTTCCAGATCCTAGTGTAGTAAAGACAAGTTAAACAAAATTTTTAAGTATAAAAAATGAAACGAAATACGATCTGTGTTTTAACCAGATTGACAAAGATATAATGTATTGAATATTTGTCAACATTCAGCATCCTATGCAGACGATATAAACAGGATATGGTCAAAACCAGTCAGCGCCACCTATAATCTTCAATAAAATCTTTTGATAGACCTCTTTTTAATCTGATTGAATCTAAAGCTGTCAGATTTGAATCTGTTTTCTTAATTACATGTTACAGAATTAATTTAAGCACATTTTAGCGTGAATTATAGCTATGGAAAACGAGATACTGCCCAAAACATGCAGATAACGCTCACCAACTTTGTTATCATGCTTTTATTGATGTTGGTGAAATAAACGATTTATTTTAAGTCTAGCGTGTTTTTCCATCAGCAGAATCACAGCCAGCGCAGATGAGTAAATAGTTCATAAATCAGAGAGTATTATTGTAATCCCCGCAAATTGACACAATATTTAAGTTAACGTATCTTTTGATAAATGAGCAGGCTTACTTGTCACTTTGAGTGATTTATCGTTACAAGTGATCACAGCGAAACTACAGCCATGAACCACCATTGTGTGTTTCAATAATTTGATTTTGAATGACGGAAAGGCCAGCCTGGCAAGTAATTAGCCATGAATGATCTGATCATTTCCGAATGCTAAATTTGTCAAACATCAATTTTCGGCTTGGTATAGTTGTTAATTGTTGTGGCGTGTGCGCTAAAGACATAAGTAGCCAATATACACCAAAGACCAACAACAAATGAAGTCTGCTAATCTGATTACCGTTTTCTACATAATTTCTAAACACAGAATTACCAATTCTCTCATCTCAGAGGACAGAGGGGCCAAATTACAAAAGAAAAAATCCAGACACTTGATAGCATTTTTTATTAATCAGCGGGTTTTAGTGTTGTAGAAAATCTATAGAGATAATAGAAAAATTAAAGAAAGATTATTTTTGTATAAACAAACTCCTTATATATTTTATTCCTAATTTGAAAATAATAAAATAAATTGTAATTTCTGGACTGGAGCCAGTTGATATTAATATAAAAGTAAATGAACTTGTGATCACGTCAAATGATGTTTTTTTTTATTCAATTAGAGTGGTAAATTTGGGCTGTTTTGGGTTCCTTTTTTAGATTTGTAAATATCACTAATCTTTAAAATCAGTATATTTTATTTTATCTGATTGTTTATAATTGAATATTAACTGATTTCATTGAATTAATATTATTAGAGAAAAAAACATATGATATTCCAGTAGTTTGAATAGCCTTTAAAAATATGATCATGTCCAATATTTATTTGGGCACTAAAAGAAACAAAGACTTTATTTTGATAATGGATAATAATTCTTGCTTTGAGTATGTGTGAAACTTTGCCCTGATTGCAGCATTTCTGCCCGCACTCCATCGAAATTCCAGCAATCAGTGTTTTTTTTATGACAACAGGTACATAGATCAACCTCAGTTTTTTTCTGCCCCATCCACTCAACTAGATGTTTTTACTTACCATGTCCTACTCCTTGTCACTTACAAGCGGGAAATTGAAACCACGCCACTTGCCCACATACTTAATATAAAGAGTAAACTTGCAATGAAAACGTTGGGCATCATACTACTCTCTGTGAAAGAATCATATTCCATTTTTTAGCAGATGCTGATTTTTTTTGAGAGACAGTTCTTTAATAATTCCAGGGTGCCATAATATATTGTATTAATCAAATTCCCTAATCTATATTTAACAAGATTATAGAGGTACGAAAATAACTTGATAAATGTCATAGCTGGAAGAAATAAGACCGTAATGGTGGATTTTAAATCCTAAATACAGAGAACTGAACACATCAAGTTAGAGGACCCAGTGGACGTGGATTGTACAAATGTACCGGTATTTGACACATTGCAGATTTTTATTCCTTAACCTTTGAACCTTGACCGCTCAATTGGCCACACCTCTTACCCTATTTCAACTAAATTATGAATTTGAAAAATGAAAAATGACAATTGTATCGTATTTCGTTTTTATTGCATTAAAAGATGACATTTCTTTCGAACTTATTTCACTTTCAGGAAGAACAAAATGCCAGTTCATCGGCCAATTATGATGTAGAATTACTTCATTCTGCTGAAGCCCATCGGGAATTAATCTCTGCGGCTAAAGGTAAGGGATAAATACGCTGTTTAAATCAATTGATGGTGTATATATTGGCAGCTTTGGAAATTGGACGGAACGGTTTAAATCGAATATTCATAATATGGCAGTTCTGTTTCAAATAAAGCATGTTTGAAGCCAACAGAAACCATGTCATCAAATTGGTGATAATATTAAATTTATATGTATATTACAATATATAAAATGCTTATATAAAACATGTGGAAAGTTTATTATATGTATATAAGGATAATTTGGCCATCTTGGCCTCAGTGTTTGTGCCCTAGAAATGAGTTATCATTTAGGCATCAACAGACAATTACAATAAATTATAAATGGTATTGTGAAATCAATAGAAAGTATTGTGTATTTTGACTCATGTTTGGATGGATTGGTTTTAATAGTTTTTTAGATTTTTTTTAAGACTGTATTTTTTTGTGTCAAGGTCTGGAAGTCTATATTTGCATTTTATTCTGGAAATTGGACAACATCAGACAACAAGAAATCGTGGTGTAAAATAGAACATTATTTTTATGGCACTTATGGGGTGTTAGGGGAATTAATTGTCAGCATATTTCGCTTGATAGACATTGTTTATTTTTTTAAGATGACCATGGTAATTTAATGTTGTTCCCGGAGGAATGATTTACTAAACAGGCAATCAATGAACAGAAGTAGAAATTTGTCACAAGACGCCTATCTACACTCATGCTAATTTAAAGATGTGTTCTTCTACACCCGAATAAACTATTCTGTTAGTCAAAATTCTGGGAAATCATCCATAAAATACTAATTGAAAATGTGTCTTCTTAGGAAATATAATTGAATTTATCCATAGTGTACCACTCACAAAGTTAGCAATCATGACATTTTTTTTCTTCAGATTTTGCCAGGCCTTTGCTTAAAGTTAGTTTAGGTTATGGTAAAATCCATAACATCCGTAGAAACGCAGTAATCATTTTAAAATTGTTAATTCTATGATAAAATCTTACACCAGAGCCGAAATAAGCTTACATCACTATAAACAGAGTATCATTTAATCTTGTGTATCTAGAACTAATTTCTTTCACATTCGTTTAATATCAAATCTTTGTTTATAATACTACGTAAAAATCTTTTTAAAACCACCCAAAATTATCTAATTTGTACTTGTGTCCAGTTTAAAGCTAACTGATTAATTTTGATAATGAGCGTCCAATTTACAAGTATTTAATTTCCTGACCTCTGTTAAAAAATTAATCATTATAAATACATCATTAATCAATTGGGTTGTTTAGTATTTAACAGTGATTAAGAAATTAAACGCTTGTAAATTGGACACTCATTATCAAAATTGAATGGTCAGCTTTAAACTGGACACAAGTTAAAATTACATAATTTTTGGTGATTTTAAACAATTTTTACAAATTTTTAAACAAAGATTTGATATTAAACGAATGTGAGAGAAATCAGTGCTTAATTAGTGCTAAATTTCTGATGAGTATATATTGACAAGATACAAAATAAGAGACTGCCATAAAAGCTATATAACTCTAATGTGATTTTTGTCATTGTTGCTGGTTTTCAAAGCTTTTAAGCTGGAAAATATATTTAACGTAACATTGGCTTTATTAGGATTCATGCTGGAAGACATCAATGTCAGATATCTAACGCTAACTTAATATTATCTTGTGGTGTATCTACTTGCAACAAATAATAACATTATTAACCCCCACACTGTTTAGGGTCAGTCCAGCACAGAATTTACAACAAAGTATACCCTTCTGGCAAAGTCTGCCATTTTGTTTAAGACAATTTATTTTGTAATAAACTTACCACCATTATAGGCCAAACCAAAATTATTTTTTTAGTTGTTTAGCGTCTTGATAAATAAATAGTCACTTGAGATCAATGAACAAAACCCCACAAGAAATAGTTCTTCACTAACCAGGTCCCTGGATGGATCACACTTTTGGCCTAGAAAATTCCTTGAGATCGATTTTGCCATTCTGGTTTTCCATTAATAAGGAGTGCAGGATGTGGGGCCTGGCAAGAAAAAATGTGTCTTGTTGTTTAGACTAAAATTGGGGATTACCTATGTACTCATTTGTAGAAATGCCACTGTGAGGGCTAAATTCACATTATGACTACCACATAACATATATGCCAGTTTTCATTAGACCGGATGGTTCAGAAAAGTAGGATGTTAAACACCATTTCATTTAATTACCTGACAAGGGAAAAAAGCATCTAGTCATTCAGATGAATGAAAATTTGAGAATCACCTGTGTTCTCGTTGGTGTGCACATTAGGAACCACTGACATTTCGAATTCGATGAAGAGTTGGCTGTCTGGGCAAAATTCCCCTCATAGCACAATGCATGGCATATGTCATTCTTCCTTAGCTCGCTTGGTGCAGAAAAGTGTAACGTTAACCCACATTTAATTCATTTTGTGTTCCCAAAGTTCAAACTGATGTGGCCTTACTTGTATTTTGTTTCTGACATTTTAACAAAAATAATCAATAACCGTTACCCGAATATAGGAAATTGTAATCACCAGTTTATATATAATCCATTATACATATACTAACACAATTTCTGTCTGTACCATAAACTAATAGGTGATGAGTTAATCCAAAACAGTCCTACAGACAAACCCAGGTTGTGGTAGGATTCAGCCAGATATTGACTTCCTAGTGTTAATTGTTATATGTCATCAACAATTATTGATAATTATTATAAGAAAGCATTTTACAACAATATTGCATACCGTTTTACTCACTTTTGTTTACAATAATTTTAAAATCTGATTTAGATAATGGTCGGTGACAGTAGGTTGTTTAATAATGGTTCGGAGATCTTTCAGAAAGTCACTTTAATTGAGTAACATGTCTGACTTTTTATTTGAACTATAAAGGGGGTTAGGAGTCATCTGGTAGCTCTTCGTATATATTAGTTCTGTTTTCAACATGCCAGGTTTATATGGGTGTAATTGTAAAGTGTTACAACATGGGTCAAAGGACTGTCTCATGATTTACAAGAAATGAAATGAAATGGGGTTTAACGTCCTACTTTGTGGCACCAACTGGACTAATCAAGATGGACATACACCAGGCAGTGGACATGCAACAATGTCAATATGGCCTGTTCTTATTTCGTTTTCAAACTCTTAAGGGATCTTTTACTGCCAATACAGGTCCTTGTTTTTTTTTGGGCCTCTTCTGAACATACGCTATTTCTTGGCAAGACCTCCATCCTCCATACCATTTGTCATGCTGTATTTGTTACCTCCCATATTATTTACTGTAAAGTGGCATGTACAATAACACAACTTCACTAATGGAAAACAGTATTAATTAACACAAGAGAGTCGTGTTTCCAGAGTTATACCCCTTTGTTTTAAAAAAGACTGTATATAGGCTTCAATAAATGAAATCAACCGCTGTTGAGAATGCCCAACAGTTTAAATTTTTATTTCTGCTAAAAGTTAGCAAAAAATCAGTCTGTTTATCAGACTTGCCATGATATATTTCCTTAATGCATGACGTTATTTTAACAGACAAGCAATTTAAATTTGACATCTTTTTGAGTGGTTGTTTACTTTATTTCTAGACTATTTTATCAGTTCATGTACTATTATTATTTAAACTAAGGATTAACAGCCCGTGAGAGTCCAATTTATGCCGAACTCTGACTGAAATTGGGTCTTTAATATTTTTGCCTTAGATCAATGTGTGTTCATTGAACTGTTGAAAATTACTGTGCTATATATTTTCTGTACAAATTACCAGTAATATATATACGGTGAATGTTCTGCAATCTGCAGTCTTATTTTGTTCCACCTCTCACCAGCATATCCAGTATCAGTTTATTCTATTCAAATTCTTGGGCAGTATTGCATGATAATATTACAAAATAATTACATTAATCTTGTATATTTCCCAATTTTCAATTATTTGCAGTGATTTAAAGTAGTTGTGTTCAATATTTTATCATGTTCAGATAGAACAAAAGAGAGAGAGAGAGGGAGAGGGGGAGAGAGAGAGAGAGACTCCTCTTGACACAAACTAGGTCATTTTGGGACTAGCACATGGTTCAATTCTATTTCAATAATCACTTGCGTGTAGGAGTCTTTAGCTGTGGGAGGAAACCGAAGGACCCGGAGAAAACCCACGAGGTTGGACAGGCGACCCTACTCCTTGTCACGTACAACCAGGAAAAAAACACCACGCCAACTGACTCAATGACAGACGTACACATGCTAACCATTCGTCCACTCAAACCCCCAAACTGCATATAAAAACTATATAGAACAAACAGTACAGTGGTCATATTCCATTCAATAAGTATATATTTTTCTAACAGTCAGGGGACCTTCATTTCTGCCAATAGTTCTTCACCCTTTATATGACCAGATTGTGTTTGTTAATTCCGGTATCATCATAGATTCCATTGGTTTGATATAGTTTGATATATAAGTTCAGTTCAAGATTTCAAACTCCATTAAGAATTAATATGTTATGATATCTCTCTCTCTATAGACTTTATGAATGAAAAAAATCTTTTCTTTATAATTTATTAGTGTTATCAGTGTCTGATCAAATCTGTGTTTTATTTTTATTAAGAGTATCTTGCATGTTTCAATGTCAATATTCAAATATGACTGTCAAAAGAACATTCAGTTTGATTTTATTTTAATTCATTTCCAAAAATATGATTTTATGAGATGAATTGGAACGGGAAGAAACTTGTTCAATATCCTCGATAATAAAATTAATTGGATAATGTTTCATTGATTTTTTCCTTAGAGACACTCTACATGGATATATTCATTTAAAATAAAAAGAAATTACAGTTAATGCGTCAGTTTCCTTGGAATCTAGAAATGTATTTTGTTCTTATTTGTTTTTAATTTCAACAGGGAGTTGGAACAGAGGGAGTAGAAGCTCTTTCATAATCCTTTAAATTCTCACGTTCTTCTTTGAAGATTGTTTGATTTTAGGGTCTCTAATTAACGGTATATTTTCAAACCAATTCAAGACAATTTTTTTGTCATCATAAAATAAAATTAAACCAGGAAGCTATAAATTGAAGTGATCTGAAGCTTCAAAATATCTTGTTCCAAGGCTGTTTCATCTCTTGACAGTTGGAATTAAATTGTTTTTTTTATACATTTTACCGATATGGTTATACTTGTATAGGTAATTTTTACTTCAATATGCTTACATTCATATTTCATGTGGCATATAGCAGATCAGGACTCGTGCTGGTATTACACAATGTTTTTCTCTGTGTTTTATTCCTGATTGTTTGTTTTCAATTTTGAGTGAAGTCTGTATCACTACAGACCCGGGACTGTACAGCGCAGTGGACGCTTACGACTAGCCCCTGGATCCATGCACTTAATTTGATATGTTCATTTGTTTGTGATTTCTGGGTATTTTTTCTTGTCCGTGGATTTGTTGTGTGTAAATTATGTGTGGTGCAGTCCACCTGCACTTACTGTTAGAAGAATAGACATTCAAATTCTGGGGATCACGGGGGCTAAGTGGGTAAGATGCTGGCTTGCTATCCTGGAGGTCGGGTGTTCAATCCCTGCATTGGCCGAGAAAGTTCATCCAGATTTTCCAGCGTGGTTCTCCCTTGTAAGTGATGCAGGATGGAGGGCCTGATAAAGACAGCTGTCTAGTCGTTCGGATGGGACGCAAAACCAAGGTCCCGTGTACACATTGGTGTGCACGTAAAAGATCCCTTGACAGTTGGAATTCGATATAAGAGTAGGCCGTAGTGCCGCTGTCCGGGCAAAATTTCCCTCATAGCACAAAGTATGGTGTATGCCCGTCTTCATTAGCCCAGTTCGGAGCAGAACAATAGGACGTTAAACCCCATTTCATTTTATTCAAATTGTATAAAAAGCTTCTACATCCTTTATTTATACTCTAAGAATCCAATGAATTTGTTTCAGTTAATGTCTTTTGGGATTTAAGTACTGGCCGTTATATTCTTTATAATCAATAGAAATATTTCTCTTTACTAACATTTAGTATAGACATTGAGTATTTTAATGTTGCTAGACTGATTTTCCTTACATAAGGAAATGTTATGAATAAAATAAATTATTAAAAAAACTTTGTTGGAATCAATTAAATGGCAGTATCCATACATGTACTTTCATATAATCTAATGTCAAGATGATCCTAATTAAAAATCCTGTTATAGAAATAAAAAGTAAACATGTTGTATCAAAATGGGAGCCACGGTGGCGCAGTGAAAAAGATTGTTCGATACTGATGTTGGCCGAAAGAGTTCATCAGGAATTTTTTGCTGTGGTTCTCTGTGGTGCAGGACGGAGAGCCTGGCAAGGGACAATGGCGTATAGTTGTTCAGCTGGGACAGGAATTTTTTGCTGTGGTTCTCTGTGGTGCAGGACGGAGAGCCTGGCAAGGGACAATGGTGTATAGTTGTTCAGATGGGACAAAAAACAGTGCTCTTGTTTACATATTGGCATGCAAAATTTTCCTCATAGCACAGTGTATGACAGATGCCCGGGTTTATTAGCCCAATCAGTGCAGAACAGTAGGACATTAAACCCCCTTAAATTTGTATGAAAATAAGTAAGGTATTGTGTTAATTAGACATTTATCCATTTCATTTAATGATATGGAGGCATGTTTATGTTTTGTTAGAGGACAACTGTAGCTTAATTAACAAGTTAATGTAGGGTTTCTTTGTGAAGATTTCATCCACATGTATGTATGATTATTTCCTAGCTTACGGCATTTGATTCTGGGTATCACAGATTGGATTCTAAAACATCTCTGGAGAATAAAAACTATTTATATTAACCATATTTGACCCGAGGACTGTTTATATATATGATATGCATGCAGTGTAGAGAATAATGAGTATCTACTTTCCGAACTACCCTCAAGATATGTAGAGGGCAATGAATGAAGCATGTACTTTCTGAACTACCTTCAAGATATGTTGTGGGCAATAAACGCTAGCCTTTACTTTGTGAACTACCGTCAAGATGTGTAGAGGGTAATGAACAAAAAAAAGCATTTACTTTGTGAACTACCCTCAAGATGTGTGTAGGGGGCAATGAATGAAGCATGTACTTTCTGAACTACCCTCAAAATATGTAGGGGGTAATAAATGAGGGCATGTACTTTCTGAACTACCTTCCAGATGTGTTGTGGGCAATGAGCGGGGACATGAACTTTCTGAACTACCTTCCAGATGTGTAGAGGGCAATGAGCGGAGACATATACTCTCTGAACTACCTTCAAGATATGTAGAGGGTAATGAACGTAAGCATTTACATTCTGAACTACCTTCAAGAGTGATAAACGCGATCATTTACTTTGTGAACTGCCCTCAAGATTTGTTGGGGGCAATGCAATGAATAGGGGCATGTATTTTCTGAACTACCCTCAAGATATGTAGGGAGCAATGAATAGGGGCATGTACTTTCTGAACTACCCCCAAGATTTGTAGAGAGTAATAAATGTGATCATGTACTTTCTCATGAACTGCCTTTAAGATGGTATAGATGGCAATGAATGAAGCATGTACTTGATGAAATACCTTTAAGATTTGTAGAGGGCAATGATAGGGGCATGTAATTTCTGAACTACCTTTAAGATGTGTGGAGGGTAATGAATGGGGTTTCAAGGGAAGGATATGAAATGTGGTTTAATTGGATACATTTCTGTACCAACCAGTCTTATGAAGACAGCTAGCTTCACAGCTTTTAATCCTAATAACGTACACATGTAGTTAACATTATCCAGTCTTATCACCAGTTGTAAAAATATCCATTAAACTATTATTTTATAAAAGAGTTATTCCCCCAGAGAATCAATCGGATGATTAGATATTTCTAGTTGAGTCACTTCAACCAGACAGAAAGTTTACAGTTACATGTATTGTAGTCTCTCACATTTCTGTACCAACCCGGGCGATGAAGACAGCATTATTGGTGTTATTAAAACACTTATTACATACAATTTAGCAGTAATGGGGTGAGAAATCGGCAGTTTCCTCTACCAGTAAACAAATCCCAAAGCCTACATTGCTGTACAGAATTTAAAGGAGCTAAATCGCTAATATTTGGGACCTAAAAATTGACCCAAATAGGTCGCAACGCATATAATAATGTAATCTGATTGTATATGAACTGATTTACATTTAGTTGTTTCTGTTTTGACTCTAATTTCAAATCAGTTAGGTACAGCGAAATATGGCATGAGTCTCAACCGAATAGAAATTTCTAGCGTCTGGTTATTCCAGTCTATTGCGCATGCTCTCCAGATAAGTTATGGTGTTGCCGTATGACATGAGTTGTGGAATATGTCTAGCCTCGCTCTTTCTGGTCACTTGTTACAAATGACGATGAAACGCACTATGGTACACAATTCGTGTACCAATGGTAAAATGTTTATTTTGTCTTAAATATTGGATATCAGAAGCCTACCTTTTCCAGGTAAGATAACGACATCAATGTTGATTTGAATTGACAAATAATTCGTGTTTTCAACGTGTAAGACTTTGGATGATATTGAGTTAGAGACTTAGCTACTTTAAAAACAAAAAGTACGTGGTTGATATTCTGTTTCCAGTTTCAAATGTTTAAACTATGAATTTTAAATAAGATATTGTTCACAAGCTATTTATTTATATAGACTGAGAACTAAAAAATACATTACTTTGGCCAGCAGGCTGTCTGCTAACTGAAATTAAAATTCAGGATGCATGTGATATACCGTCCATCCATATCTACAATCTGTCAGTTCCTCCAGAGAAACTTGATTTGAATTTGAAATGTGGATGAGTTTTATTTGTTCACAATTTAAGTGTAGGTCGAACATTTATTACACGTTTCTTAGAGAAATATTTTGTTTGTAATCAGGGAGCCACTGTGACTCAGTGAATAAGATGTTGGCTCGCTAACCTGGAGGTCCCATGTTCTATCCCTGCATTGGATGAAAAAGTTTATCAGGATTTTGTGACATGCAGGACGGAGGAACTGACAATGGACAATGTATAGTTGTTCGGATGGGATGAAAAACCAAAGTCCATTATATATATTGGCGTGCTCATAAAAGAACCCTTGGCAATTGGAATTCGATATAGCATCATAGCACCACTACCTGGGCAAAATTTCACCCATAGCATACCTTGTGGCGTTTGACATTAAGCCCCATTTCATTTCATTTGTTTGTAATCATTAGATTACAAGTCAGAGAATTTATAGGTGGAAGATAAGATTTGTCGTTTCTTTAAGTTATTACAGTCTCTCTGTTTTGTCTCATATATATATTGAACCACATCATAAAAATGATGGGGAGGTGTAGATGACTGAAAGGTTAGCATGAGTGCGCTGTATCATAAGGTCTGTCATTGAGTCAACTGGCATGGTTTCGATTCCCCGGTTGTACGTGACAAGGAGTAAGGATGCCTGTCCAACCTCGTTTTAGCTGAATATGTTGAAGGTCTGTTTGTAGCTTTTAAACCTTTGCATGTTTTAGCTAGATTATAGGTCGGATAGAAGTGTTTATAACCTTTGTATGTTTTAGCTGAATTGAACAACTGATTGTATTAGTGTTTAGTTTTAACCTTTATATGTTTTAGCTGGATTGAAGGTCTGATTGTATTAACGTTTAGTTTTAACCTTTATATGTTTTAGCTGGATATGTTGAAGGTCTGATTGTAGCATCTAAAGAAGGCTTACCTACTAATACCGTTCTACTCAAGTGGTGTACACCGAAAACAAACGCAGTTGGTGAGTTTCTTTTATCTCTTGATTTGATTAATAAAAACAGTTGCCTGTCCAACCTCATGGGTTTTCTCCGGGTCGTCCAGTTTCCTCCCACTGCTAAAGACCACTACGCGCAAGCAAATTATGGAAATAAAACTGAACCATGTGTTAGTCTAGAAATGACCTAGTTTTGTGTCGAGTGGACACAAAAAGCAAATTATGGAAATAAAACTGAACCATGTGTTAATCCCGAAATGACCTAGTTTGTGCCAAGTGAACGTTAAACCCCATTTCTCTCTCTCTCCCATAAAAACAGATTGACCAAATGTAGAGGAAGCCTGAAAAAAATACCCTTTCTGCAATCAATATTACAATCTGTTTTCAGTTTCTTGAGGGAGGGTCACTCCATTAACTTTTTAAGACATGTTTAAGATTTATTTGACTCATTTCCATTATAAATTGGAGAAAATGTCAACATTTCCCTGGATTCATTGACAAACAAATTTGCTTTAACTTAGTTTTGTAGCTAGAAGGTATGACTGTGTTGCTGGTGGGTGTCTCTAGTTGGAATATGTTTTCCCAGTTAACAATTTATCTCAAGCTAATGTGGAATGAAACATGTTTAACGTTTTTTCTGCATCAATTGAGCGACCTAATAGTTAATATATACCATCCATTGAGGTGTGAGGATACTTTGCCCTGACCACAGCACTACAGCATGATTTCGATCTCCAACTGTCAGGGGATCTTTAACAGGCTTTCAGTGGTACACACATGACCTCAGTTTTTTGTTCCATCCTAATTACTAGACATTTTCCTTGCCAAGTTTTTGTGCTGCACCACTGACTGGGGCAAACCAGGCTAGCAAATACTGATGTACTTTCATGGCCAACACATGTATTGAGCCACGTTGGCTCCCTAACCAGGAGGGCCCATGTTCGATCCCAGTGTTTGTCGAGAAAGTACATTTGGATTTTCCGGCACGGTTCCCCCATGTCAGGGATGTAGGTTAGGCCCGAGTAAGACATAATTGGTACCATCTTGGCGTCACGTCAAAAAGCGAAGTCTGTCAATCGACGAGCAGTTGTTGAAAGAACAAGCATGACAAATTTAATGTTGATTGTACTCGTTTTGGCAGACCCCCAAGAATATACCAAGTGTGTGCAACCAGCTCCTACTTCAAATATGTGACGTTTGGGATGTATTGTCAACATTTTGATATTTTTATGATTTCAGAATTACATCATTGTTGTGGAGCATATAGAATAACACCTGTTGATGTTAATAGTCGACCATCATCATGTCTTACTAACTTTCTACTGGGAGGTAAAACATTTATATATTTTTATCCAATTTTAAAAACTGTTTAGATATATCACCGTTACACCATAATGATGGTTGAGTTCGAATTTTATAAAAATTGGATCGAAACTGCCTAACAAAATGGCTGCTCCTTGTACGCAAATAGTGTTAAAGTATGTAATACCAAGGTTGTGGACCCTCTAGAAGACCCAATTTTTATCTGATTTTGATAAAAATGTTTATATCCCGAAGATCTAGGTTCCTGTAGATATTCACACATATTGGACCGTAACTTCCTTGATTCTCTGTCCATCTCTTGCAAAATGTGTTCTTATCTTGCATGTCAACTGCTTGTATTTATTTTTTTTGACTTTGAGAGTGTGGACCTGTGGGGGCATGGTACCATACTTCCCCTGCTCCATTATACACCATTAAAAATGTAAACATTGTGAGTAGTTTATATTGCATCTGTACTTTACCTCTGATAATATAAATATACAAGATTTTAGAAGTAAATACATAATGGATTGCTTAATTAAATGTACAAGATAATTTTAAAATGTCAAAATTATACACAGATGTTTTATGTGCACTAAACAATTTAATCGGTAATTTGTTATGAACTTCCTCACCCCTAGGCCTGTAAAACATTAATCTGTAATTTTTTTCTGAACTTTCTCACCCCTAGGCCGGTAAAACATTAATCTGTAATTTTTTCTGAACTTTCTCACCCCTAGACCTTTAAAACATTTAATCTGTAATTTGTTCTGAACTTCCTCACCACTAGGCCTTTGAAACATTTAATCTGTAATTTGTTCTGAACTTCCTCACCACTAGGCCTTTGAAACATTAAGCTGTAATTTTTTCTAAACTTTCTCACCCAGGCCTTAAAACATTTAATCAGTAATTTTTTCTGAACTTTCTCACCCATAGACCTTTGAAATTTTTTAGGAGCCACAATGGTTCAGTGAGTATGAGACTGTCTAGCTCACCCACAAGGTTCAATCCTGGTGTTAGCTGAGAAAGTTCCTCATGATTATCTAACCTGGTCTCCCCTTGTCAGTGGTGCAGGACCGGGAGAAGGAGAGATGATGGGGTTTAATGTCCATTGAACACAAACTAGGTCATTTCGGGACTAACATATGGTTCAATTTTATTTCAATAATTCACTTGCACATAGGGGTCTTTAGCAGTGGGAGGAAACCGGAGGACCTGGAGAAAACCCATGAGGTTGGACAGGTAACCCTACTCCTTGTCATGCTCAAGCGGGGAATCAAAACCATGCCACTTGACTCAATGACATTCGGATGAGATGAGCCAGAACGATGATCTTTGAGCCACAACTGCTCCCAGAGGGCCGTGCAAGGAAAAGTATCTAGTCGTTCGGAAGAGACCATATTCACCAGCCTTCAGTTGACATTTACAATAATTTTAAGCAAGGTGTAAATAATAATTTATAATTTCTATTTTCAGATCGGTCAGTGATGTTAGAACAGCCTCGTAAAACAGGGGGTAAAGTGATCTCCCATATATTGGCGAGTCACGGGGGAGAAATCTTCATACATTCCTTACATACGTACCGATTTTTATTAGAAGATCCACCATCTATTAGTGAAGGATGTGGCGGTCGAGTTACAGATTATAGAATACCTGTAAGATATTAAACCTTTTATTATGGCCGAGAAATTTCTCCAATATTTTCCAGTGTGGCGGCGGTGGCCTGGTGACGAACAGCATCTTGTTATTCGGGTGGAACGAGAAAACAAGGTCCAGTGAAAACATTGGCATGCACGTGTAAAAGAACCTTTGACAATTGGAACTCAACGTAGAATAGGCGGAACAGTTGATGTCCATGCGAAATATCCCACATAGTACACTACATGGTGTATGTCCATCTTCATTAGCCCTGTTGGTGTATGAAATTAGGAGAGAGGGAGAGAAAAATGGGGTTTAACGTCCATTCGACACATACTAGGTCATTTCGGGACTAACATATGGTTTAATTTTTTTTTTTCAATAATTCGCTTGCATGTGTAGGGGTCTTTAGCAGTGGGAGGAAACCGGAGGACCCGGATAAAAACCAACTGGGGTTGGACAGGCTACCCTACTACTTGTCATGTTCAACCGGGGATTCGAAACCATGCCAGTTGACTCAATGACAGGCCTTATGATACAGCGCGCACGTGCTAACCATTCGGCCATCCAACCCCCAGAAGAAATTAGGACATTAAACCTCATTTCATTTCAATACATGTCACCTTCTGGGTTTTTTTCCAAGCATGGTTCCAACTTGTCAGAAATAGTGCCCGAGGGATTGACAATAAAATTAAAGATCCAGTACTTCACGTTTAAGGTGCGCTTTCGCTCCTGCTCCAGTCGACGCACCGCGACGTTTCCTTCACGGGAGTCATTATAGACTCCTGCAAATTAGCTAAATTGCTCTCCTAAATAGTGAGATTAATAGCTACTTTCAGTTTTTGTTATTGTTGAACTGCATACAGCGTTCGCGCTATCAGTTTCCATGATGATAATTCTGATGCTACCATATTCACCAAACATATTCACCAAATATGAAACAAGACTAAAGCATAAATACAATTCAAGAAAATGTAGAATTACTCTTTCAATATAATTTTTTACAGGAGCTGTTTTCTAATTTTTGAAATTGGCAGGAGCTTTCTATGACTCTTGCACAATTTTATAAACGTGAAGGACTGAAGATCTCCTGATAGTTGAAAATTGAAATAAAGAGCAGGTCATTGAGAGAACATGGTTTTTCATTTAAAGTTTTAACATTAATGCTAATGTATTTTCCCTGTTTTTACTTGCTATTATAGGATTTTGGTATATTCATGAAAGAAAATCGTTTGGCACCAGCGACGCCTATTATGGAAAGTGAATATTCTACCACACCCTTACAGAGAGGTAAAATATATTTCTTATTCATTTATTCATTAAACAGGTAGAATTTGGTCATGTCATTAATACTTTTACAAATATATTGATCTTGAAGGAGAAGTTTCCTTTGATTGTACTTACTCTTTTTATGTAGACATTTTTGACCATACTAGCAGAGAAAATCTAGGTCTAAACATCTCAGTTTATCATCATGAAACATTTCTGCGCCTAATTTTCCAAAATTAGTGTTAATTCAAAACGTTAAATATGTTCATGTGCTTTCTGAGTTCCAGAAGGTGGGGTGGATGGCCAAATAGCTAGCACGTGTGCGCTGTATCATAAGGTCTGTCATTGAGTCAACTGGCATGGTTTTGATTCCCTGGTTGTAGGTGACAAGGAGTAGGGTTGTTTGTCCAACCTCTCCGGTTTCCTCCCACTACTAAAGACCCCTGCTCACAAGCGAATTTTTGAAATAAAATTGAACCATGTGTTAGTCCCGAAATGACCTAGTGGACGTTAAACCCCATCTCTCTCTCTCTCTCTCTCTCTCTCTCTCTCTCTCTCTTTCTCTTCCTGAGTTCCAGAAAGCTTGTGGGTAGAAAACAGCGTATTTTAGTTAATTGCAAATCGTCGTCTGAATCTGTTTTGTCATCTGGGGTTCCCCAAGGTTCTGTTCTTGGTCCGATTTTATTTACCCTCTATACGTCACCATTAGGCGATATTGTCAGAAAATATGGTCTCAGCTTTCATTTGTATGCCGATGATACTTAATTATATATTTCATTTACACCTGATTGTCCATCTTCTTTCAATTTATCAAAATTGCAACTTGAGAACTGTATTAGTGAAATTAGAAAATGGATGTCAAAGAACTTTCTAAAATTGAATGATGATAAAACCGAATATTTGTTATTAGGCTCAAGGCATCAATTAAGTAAATCTGCACATGATAACCCCCCTGTTGTAATTGGTAATTGTGATATATTTTCATCTTATTCTGCTCGTTATATTGGCGCAATCTTTGATAGTTTTATGCTTATGGGAGCTCAAGTAAATAATATTTGTAAATTGTGCTATTTTAATATCAGAAATATAGGTAAAATACGTAAATGTGTAACTGTAGAGGCCACTAAGTCACTTGTTAATTCTCTGGTCACTTCTCGATTAGATAACTTTAATTCACTTTTAGTTGGTTTACCTTTAAAGCTTATAGATAAATTACAAAAAGTACAGAATACTGCGGCTAGACTTGTTACTTTAACTAAGAAATGTGACCACATAACTCCTGTTTTATATAATTTACACTGGTTACCTGTTAAATATCGAATTGATTTTAAGATTGTATTACTTACTTTTAAATGTTTAAATAATTTAGCTCCTGTTTACCTCTCAGATCTTTTAGAACTTTATACACCTGGTCGAACATTACGTACATCAGATAAACTACTTTTAAAGCCCAAAACTGTTCAACTAGTCTCTTATGGTCAGCGCTCTTTTAGTTATCAAGCACCTGTTTTATAGAATAATCTACCATTTAGTTTAAGATGTTGTACATCTCTATATTCTTTTAAAAAACAACTTAAAACACATTTATTTAATCAGGCTTTTAACTGACTCTGTATACAATCGTTAACATGTCCATAATCTTGTTGTTTATGTATGATTTACTTTGTCACTTTGTAAAGTGCTACTGAACATGTTATATGAAAGGGTGCACTATAAATATGCTGTAATAATAATAATAATAAAACAATACTAATACTGTGTTGTTTTTTTGATAGCTCTGAGTGTGTTAGAAAGAAGAAGCAGATATTTACCAATGGTTATCAGTGACTCCATTTTATCAAGTATGATATCAGTAAGTACTACATACATTTCATAGCCTTGTTAATATTTTTTTTTTTTTTTCTTAAACAAGGATTTATCTTGAACCAACTCAATCTTATTAAAACACAGATTCTATTTCTTTTCATTTTTTATACGCCCAAATTTTCATGTTGACGTATATTGTCATCGCCTCTGTCGTCCATCTGTCTGTCTGTCCACAATTTGTTTGTGGACACTCTACAGATCACAATTCTTATCCGAGTTTGACGAAACTTGAAATATAGGTTTATCTCCAAAAGATCTTGGATTCTTTCTATATTGGCATATATCTGATTGAAACTTCATGGATTATGGCGCCTGATTGTACGAAAAATAAAATTGAACCATGACCTAGTTTGTGTTGAGTGGATGTTAAAACCCATTTCTGTGTGTGTGTGGGTGTGTGTGTGTGTGTAGTGTGTCATTGTTTTCAATCCTATTCTTGTATGTGACAAGAAGCACTATCACCTACTTAACCGCGTGGAGTTTCTATGGGTTCTCTGCTTTATCCTCGCACTGCTAAAGACATCTACGCAAAAGTAAATGACTAAAATACACTATGCTGTATGTTGTATCCCATATGACTTAGTTTTTGTGGATGTTAAACCCCATTTCTCTCTATTTTAGAGTATAGAACCTCTGCCATCCCTAATTGTAAAGGAATCTTTAACAGAAGAAGAGGTTTTAGAGTGTAAAAAAGCAATTTATCATGTGGTAGCCATGGAGAATAAAAATGAACCATTAATGGCTGCTGCCTCTGGAACAAGAGGAAAAGGCCCAAAAAGGTATTTTCCATTTACCTCAATGTATTATTCAACTGTATTTCTAAAGTGGGGTTCAAGCACTGTATCTGAACTAATGATTTAAAAACTTATTTCGAAGAAATTAGGGGGTCACGGTGGCTAAGTGGGTAAGACACTGGCTCGCTAGCCTGGAGGTTGGGTGTTTGATTCCTGCATTGGCCGAGAAAGTTCATCCAGATTTTCCGGCATGGTTCCCCCTTGTCAGTCATGCAGGACGGAGGGCCTGACAAGGACAGCTGTCTAGTCGTTTGGATGGGACGAAAAACCGATGTCCCATGTATACATTGGCGTGCACGTAAAAGATTCCTTGCCAGTTGGAATTCGATATAAGAGTAGGCTATAGTGCCGCTGTCCGGGCAAAATTTCCCTCATAGCACACTGTATGGCAAATGCCTGTCTTCATTAGCCCAGTCGTAGCAGAACAGTAGGATGTTAAACCCCATTTCATTTCATTTCGAAGTAATTATACAATTTAAAGGAATTAAGAATACATGTACCATAAGAATAAAAATAGCTAAAATTGAACAGGTCATGTTTTCAGCCACCATGTTTTGGTGATTTGACTTGGAATGACCCCATGATTTATCCAAAGGACAATATGTTAATCAAAACCTGCTTCCCTTTTTCTTCAGAGTACACATTAGACAATAAACAGTTCTGTTTTTTCATAAACATTCATCTGTTTGTTTATATTTTAGAGAAGAACAATATCGACAGTTGTGGGCGGAGCTTGAACAGATGGTCAGTCCGCATGCTGACTCGTCATCCAATCACAGTGAAATTTTAAACTGTATTCGAGACTGTAAACGGCCGTCAGATGACACCAAATCATCACCGAAAAAAGAAAAAGGTTCTGTTAAAGAAGAAAAAATGGAAGTCAGTGAAGCAGACCTCAGTTGGAAGGAAATGGACAGGTTGGCTGTTTTTGTTGATTTAATTAAAGGGTTATTTACTCTTTAATTGTCTATATATTTTCTATCCAATCAAAGTTTAAATCAAATCCCCATAGCTGCATCATATATTTGAACATAAAACAGAACACTTAACCATGGGTTTCAAGTCGGCCATATTATATGCCGGTCTTGATCACTTGTATTTAAAATTGACTGAAATTTTTTGAGACCCAACAATCAATTTAAACAACGTAAAACTAGCCCATATTCGAACATAGAACCCCGCCATGTAACTATAAAATTGCTTGTTTTAGTCTGTCATTTATTAAAATGGATAAACACTGTGTCCAATAAGGAGAGAGGCATTTTCAGGTCCGTTGGGGTGGTCGATAATTTCCACATATCGAGTAAAACACTACAAAATTTGGTAGGGATAGAGTAATGAGTAACCCTATCACTATCCCTGACCAAAAGTTAGGGTTCCAGATAGATGAATTTTCCAAATGGATATAACCTCCCCAAAATGCCTGAACTCTCCAACTCCAACCCCACTGAAAATAGACAAAATAGCCTATTTGTCTTATTATTTCCATTTATCTCTGTAGGGGGTCACGGTGGCTAAGTGGGTAAGACGCTGGCTCGCTAGCCTGGAGGTCGGGGTGTTCGATCTCTACATTAGCCAATAAAGTTCATCAAAATTTTCCGTCGTGGTTCCCCCTTGTCAGTGATGCAGGACGGGGGACCTGACAGCTGTCTAGTCATTTGGATGGGACAAAAAAACGAGGTCCTGTGTACACATTGCCGTGCACGTAAAAGATCCCTTGACAGTTGGAATTTGATATAAGAGTAGGCCATAGTGCTGCTGTCCTGGCAAAATTTCCCTCATAGCATGCTGTATGGCGTATGCCCATATTCATTAGCCCAGTCGAAGCAGAACAGTAGGACGTTAAACCCCATTTCATTTCTTTATCTTTGTAGGTTTCAAGGATTATCAGAAAGAGAGAAAACTGAACAGTTCAAGGGAGATAAATCTGATCCTGTTCCTAGTAAAAAATTCAAGGGAGAAGAGTCTTTTATGAGATCAGGAGGTATTTATATGTAACAGAACTCATATTTTTCCAGTTGCTGCTAAACTGATAAAGATTCATATATTTTATCTTTTGTGGTTTAGACTTGCATGTAGATATAGTCATATCAGTTACTTTCATTCCTTATTTTGATGTTCACTGCAATAACATCTAAACAAAATGGCACTGGCTTACTAACCAGAGGTCGTGGTTTTGTTCCCTATGTTTTTTTCAAAAAAGTTCCTCAGGTTTTCCCTTGTTAGTAGTGCTGTATGTCTAGTTGTTTGGATGGGACAAAAAAGTCAAGTTGCATGTGTGTACTCTTGGCAGTTAAAATTTGATGAAGAAGTTACTGTTTGGCCTGTACTTCTTTTGGAACAGAAATGTAAGATTTTAAGCCCCATTTAATTTCATTTCATATTAAACATGCATTAGGCTGACCTTAAAAATATCTTTGTTTCACCAAACCCGACCCACAATCGAGGAGAAGGGTCGGTAGGTCGGTTTTTTTTTCAGATTTTTTTTTAAAGTCAGAGAAATCAATACAGAAAACTTATTAGCTGTATACTACAGATTCATTAATTTTGTTTAATGAATTTGGGGTCTGACGTAAAAAGTAACGAACTGAAAGTTTTTATTAAACTTATTAAACATTCGTCTTCTTTATTGGCAAACAAATCAATGACATCGGGATTTTTCGTGATGCCCGACTCGCACACGATTTGCCACGAACTTAACGATAGTGCGGGTTGTGCCTTCATTTTTCTCGAAAACGGATATTGAAAATATCGTCGTCATGTTTAAAACTACGCACCACAGACATAGAGGCAGAATCATTTTGTGGGAATGGACGTGTATTCGTCTGCAACCATTTTGTTGAGAAGCGACACCTATGACGCTTTTGTCTTGATCAACCAGTTTCAATAATGAATCAAACCATAGCCATAGTAAAGGGAAATAACTCTCATGATATATTTCAGGTTGACAAACAAAATAAAATAAAAAGATCGTGGAAAAGTGCAATAAAATAATTTAAGTCGGGGGTGGTTTTAGTTAGTCGGTCGCGTTAGGCGAAACAAAGATATTTTTAAGGTCAGCCTTATGCAAGAGCTAAATCTGTCTATTGCAGGTCTTTCTTTAGGCCTGGAATGTTATCTAAATTATTAATTAGACATTAATTAACCTATTCAGACCATAATCAACTCTAGATGGCATCGCTAGCCTGCGATCTTAAGTGGATTGTGAGCCGATTTACTGCATAACTTTCCTTCTCCATTAAACGATTAAATGGATAATCGAGACTATGCTGTTTATTGTACTGACTTTAGTAATGATGACCGAGGCTAGGCAGAAATTTGATTCGCTTAGTTCTCGGTTCATAGTGGACCAATTTGAATGAAATTTTCAACAAATTGCCTTTACGTTATCTAGTTTTTATACGTCCACATTCATAATGTGGATGTATATTGCCTTCGCCCCTGTCTGTGTGTGTGTGTCTGTGTGTCGCCTACAGGCCACAATTCTTAAGTGATCATCTTCAAACTTTACATACTTATTCCTTGTACCCTAAGGATGATCCCTATTGTTTTTGGTGCATGCCCGACCCCCAGGGGCATAGCCACGCCCATTTTTTGTATTTCTTTGTTTGTCATCTACAGGCCACATTTCTTAACGTATCATATTGAAACTTTGCATACTTATTCTTTGTACCCTAAGGAACATCCCTATAGTTTGGCGTGCATGCCCAACCCCCAGGGGCAGAGCCACGCCCATTTACTTTTTGTGTCTTTGTGTGTCGCCTATAGGCCACAATTCTTAAGTTATTATCTTCAAACTTTACATACTTATTCCATATACCCTAAGGATGATCTCTATTGTTTTTGGTGCATGCCCGTCCCCCAGGGGCAGAGACACGCCCATTTTTTGTATTTCTTTGTTTGTCAACTACAGGCCCAATTTCTTAACGTATCATAGTGAAACTTTGCATACTTATTCTTTGTACCCTAAGGAACATCCCTATCGTTTGGGGTGCATGCCCAACCCCCAGGGGCAGAGCCACGCCCATTTTCTTTTTGTGTGTCTGTGTGTCGCCTACAGGCCACAATTCTTAAGTTATCATCTTGAATCTTTACATACTTATTCGTTATACCCTAAGGATGATCCCTATTGTTTTTGGTGCATGCCCGATCCCCAGGGGCAGAGCCACGCCCATTTCTTATATTTGTTATTGTTGTCTACAGGGCGGATTTCTTAATGCATCATTTTGAAACTTTGCATACTTTTTCTTTGTACCCTAAGGAACACCCCTATCGTTAGGGGTGCATTCCCAACCCCCAGGGGCAGAGCCACGCCCATTTTCTCTTTGTGTGCCTACAGGCTACAATTCTTAATCGATCGTCTTGAAAAAATTTCATATGAATTCCTTATACCCTAAGGATGATCCCTATTGTTTTTGGTGCATGCCCGACCCCCAGTGGCAGAGTCACGCCCATTTCTTGTATTCATTGTTTGCTATCTACAGACCGCATTTCGTAACGTATCACCTTGAAACTTTGCATGCTTACTCCTTCTATCCTAAGGAACATCCCTATTGTTTGTGGTGAATGGCCAGCCCCCAGGGACAGAGCCACACCCATTTTCTTTTTGTGTCTCTGTATGTCACTTACAGCCTGCAATGCTTAATCAATCATCTTGAAAACATTTTTATACTTATACGTTATACCCAAAGGCTGACCTCTATTTTTTAGGTGATTGCCCAACCCCCAGGGGCAGAGCCACACCCATTTTTTCTTTGTGTCTCTGTGAGTTGCCTACAGGCCACGATTCTTAATGGATTGTCTTTGAACTTGGGATATGTTTTCCTTATAGCCTAAGGACGACAACTGCATGTCACAACCCCCAGGGGCAGAGCCACGCCCAATTTTTATGTTTATCGTTTACAGGCCCGAATTCTGGATGGATCAACTTGGTATTTGGCATATGTATTCCTTATAGACTAAGGGCATCAACTTTTGATTTTGGTGAATGCCCCAATGCCCAGGGGCAGAGCAACGCCCAATTTTTGCCTTTAACGCCCAAAGGCCACAATTTTGAATGGATTATCTTGGAACTTGGTGTACTTATTCCTTAGACCCTAAGGACGGCAACTATTGATGTTGCCATTTCAATAACAGGATGGTACCTGTTTATATTGTTTCCATATCCAACCCCCATGGGCAGAGCCACGCCCAGTTTTTGTATTTATCGTCTACAGGCTGCAATTCTGAATGAATCATCTTGGAACTTTGCATATTTATTCCTTATACCATAAAGACAGCAACTCTTTATTTTGATACTTGCCCCGACCTCTTGGGGCAGTGTCACACCCACTTTATTGTTAGTATTTTGTCTGTTAATTTGGCAAAACAAACCCGACGCCTAGCCTTCTTTGCCTCTGATCATATTACAGCCATTACATATTTCATTCTCTTCATTTTAAAAAGTACCATATCAGTCAAAGCTGGAATGTGGACGTATATTGCAGCGTTAGCGATGCTCTTGTTAATTATTATAGTGAGAACTGCCAATTCGTTATCGAATCTCCCATAATGTATCTTTAATTAAAAACACTTATATTGATATACAACTTCTTAATTTATCAAGCAAATATCTGTATGTGTATCGAAACGCAGCATGTTAACAAATTGATAACGATACCTGTATGTGTATCGAAACGTAGCTTGTTAATAAATTTAGAAGTAGTATATCCATATAAGTGTTTTTAATTTGTGAAATCTACTTCTATAGTCTTATAAGGATTCAGGGGGTTGGATGGCTGAATGGTTAGCACGTGCGTGCTGTACCATAAAGTCTGTCATTGAGTCAACTGGTGTGGTTTCGATTCCCTGGTTGTACATGACAAGAAGTAGGGTCGCCTGTCCAACCTTGTGGGTTTTCTCCAGGTCCTCCGGTTTCCTCCCACTGCTAAAGACCCCTACGCGCAAGTGAATTATTGAAATAAAATTGAACCATATATTAGTCCCGAAATGACCTAGTTTGTGTTGAGTGGATGTTAAACCCCATTTCTCTCTCTCTCTCTTATAAGGATTCATTTCTTATTGCCCTAAATTTGGTGATTGTAATTTCAGGACAGAATTTATTATCCATGTGGACCAACAGAATAAAAACTATTCACAATAAACGTCATGCTGAATTTGCTGGTAGAGAGGACAGTACTGGACCAATAGCTGAGTTATATGTGGGATTGACAGATAACAAAAAGTAACTATTGAACTTCTGTCTCACTAAGGGGTGGTTGAATGGTCACTTTAGATCAGAAGGTCTGTCATTGAGTCAAGTGGCATGGTTTCGATCCCACACTTGTATGTTGGCCTAACCCAGACTGTTAAACACCCCTACATGCAAGTAAATTATGGAAATAAAATTGAACTATATATTAGTCCAGAAATGATCCGTTTTGTGTCCAGTGGACTTTAAACCCCATCTCTCTCTCTCTGTCTCTTTCATTTTAACCTACTACTCCCTTTAAAGGATATCTCTCTCTCTCATCTTGTCTACTACTCCCTTTAAAGGAGATCTCTCTCTCTGTGTTCAGTCGTGGATGTTAAGTTGCCATACTTATCCCAGTTTATTATTGAAATTAATTTCTTGTTTCTGATTAAAGGGAGACAACACCACCAGACTCTAATCAACAGAATATTAAGAGACCACCTCTGATCCCTGGCAAGTAGAAAAGAAAAAGACATGACAGAATACCTCTGATACCCTGGAGAATTAATCAGATGACAACATTGTAACAATCTTGTTCAAGAAATACGGTCGCATTAAGTTTAAACAATTGCTTTTCTTCATCGTTGTTATCGTTAATGAATAAATCTTAATGTAAATTTATATTAATGGATAAATGAATAGCTGTTATTGTTAATTGAATGAAGACATGATAATAGCCATGATATAATAAAGATCTAATTACCAGCTAGGTATATTAAGTACAAATATATTATGTCTACATTACCGTGGCTGTATATTGGAAAATGTGGCAGAGAGGGCGACTGCCCCTGGCATCCATATTGCTGTCGCTCCTGACGGCTAAAATCTAGAAGCTAAAGTTAATTTCTGATTGACTTTAAATTTATAAGGCCATGGGATGAAGAAGTTTATTGATTTCCGATAATTACTGCCAGAGTGATAGCCCTTGATCACTTTGAAAAGTCCTATGGGCGCTCAAGAGGCCAAAGTGAATACTTGATTGACTTTAAATTTATATACAGTGTTTACAGTCACAAGACAAAGAAGACTATTTATTTTCTGATAATTACTGCCAGAGTTATGGCCCTTGATCACTTCAGAAACCTTACGGAGGTGCTAGAGGCTAAAGTTCTTATAATTACTTAATGGGATATTACTCTTAATAAGATTTTAGTGACAAAAGAAAACATGCGAAAACCCTTGTTGACTGCTCGGATGATTTAGCTGTTGTGCGAGTATGGTTTGTTCTCTGCCAAGTATCTTTAAAAAAATTTATAAACAATATTTTATTCTCATTTTTATCTGAATAGGGATTGGGGAACAGGCATGGCCTATATTTAACCCCTCTCTATTTCAGGTGGGCATCTAATCAGAAAGTGAAATTAAATAAAAATTTTTTTAAATATTTAAACTGTCTTCCTTTCTCCCATTTCTGAGTACTTTATACTAGCCCCTATAATCGAGTCCTGGGAGTATTGACCCCGGGCATGGCCACACCTCTGTACGCCACTGGGGGGTTGGATGGCCGAAATGGTTAGCATGTGCGTGCTGTATCATAAGACCTGTCATTGAGTCAACTGGCGTGGTTTCGAATCCCCGGTTGTACGTGACAAGGAGTAGGGTCGCCTGTCCAACCTCGTGGGTTTTCTCCAGGTCCTCCGGTTTCCTCCCACTGCTAAAGACCCCTACACACAAGCGAATTATTGAAATAAGCCATTGTTTCTGCCATTAGTTAACCAGTGTGTTTTCCCCCTTGGTGTAGGATGAATGTCCTGGCAAGACACAACGTGTAGTTGTACACGTAGGTTACAGGTAATAGAATCCTTGGCATTTGGTTGGAATTTGACAAAGAGTAGGTTGGAAGCACCACCATCCAGGCAAACTTTCCCTCACGGCACACTGCATGGTGTAAACACTGCCTTTATTAGCCTGGTTGGTGTAGAAAACTGGGACGTTTTAACCCTATTTCATGTTATTAGTAATCATCTGAGGATTTTATTTTATAAAAAGTCTATCATGGTCTGATATTGTTTTTATTGTGGGATTCGTTTGTGGTTGAAGGGGCAAATAAAATAAGTACGCTGGAGCAAAGTCCAAGGTTAATGGGGCAAAGGCATGAGCTTCAAACAGACTTCCGGAAATGCAGTCTGGATGCACTGATCGTTGAGATAAAGTGTCACACGTACAGACTTGCGCACCTCGACAAAGCCCACTCACGAGCGTCAAAGTAGTGAGTCCTTGCGGAGGGTATGGGCCATGGGGGACCCCCCCCCCCCTCCCAGTAAATTTTGAAAAATAGACTGCCGTAAATGCATTCTGACAGTAATCAGTCTAGATAAATAGAGCTGACCAGAGAAGAAAGTGTCAAACAAACGGACTTGCGAACCTCAACGAAGCCCCCTCGTGAGCGCCAAAGTAGCGAGTTCTTACGGAGGGTATTGGGACCTCCCCAAGAAAATTGTGAAAAATAGACTGCCGGAAATGCTGCCTGATCGTATTTGCGTCTATCAGTGTACGCAGTTCACTTAAAAAATTAAAAGAACCCTAGAATTTTCACTGTAACCAACTTCATTTATTTAGAAAGGGTAAAAACGACTTTCACATTGTCATTGACAATGTTTTCGATGTCATCCATCTTGAAAATAAGCCCAGCTGGCTCTGCTACATCGCTAGATCTATTTGTTAAGGCCAACTCAATTTTCGTCAAGGTCGCTAAGATATTAATAAGTTTAGGGCACGTGATTGTTGGCGAGATTGTAGGTTAGGGCTTGGGTAAGCGTTAGGGCTAGTTCCAGGGTTAGGGTAAGGGTTGGGGTTAGCGCTAGACCAGTTTACATCTCGTGACCTTTGACCAAACTTGAAGTTGACCTTATCACATAGATCTAACCTGGCACTGCACATATTCAGGAGATAGAGTAAGCGGACCAATGTTCGGAACAATACTCAGATGGTGTAGCAAAATCATCTGTGATAGTTCATCTCTGTACGTAGGTCTCATTACACTCGCCCTGTACGTTCAGGAACGTCCTTTTGAATCCTTGTCGAGAAGCAAGGTGTATGTTTTACTATGATTTTGTTAAAACATTATCGGCCACCAAGTCCCACAATAAATACTGAATATGAAAGTAAATTGTTTAATCCCTCATTATACACCTGTAATGTTTGTTTTATTCTGTTGTAGTATTAAAAGGTGGGCAAAACAATTAATGACTGAAAATTCTAATTTTTTATAATAGTATAATGGTATAATAGTTTAGTATCAAAATATATTATGTTGAAGGAACAGTTACATTTTCATGTTTCAAGTCTTCTGAAAAGAAATTTTACTTCGTCATGTTTGGATAAAAGAATAATATCCAGTGTCATCATCTAATCAACTAAACATCTATCTAAGACAGAAGGGAAGTCATAACAATGTTCACAATAGAATACTTAGTGGGCCCTCAGTTCATCAAGTATTCCTGTATTTCAATACTATCTGTCGAAATTAGTAGATCAAAATCTAATTTCAAGAAATATTCGTGGAAAAGGACAAAGAGTAATGAAGCCATTGTATGCGTATTGAAAGTAACGTTGTATGAAGTTGAAAGGGTCGTTATGTTTTCTGTAGGATCTATTGTATTCAGCTTTTAAAATCTGTCATTGTATGTTTTCAGTGTGAAATATTTTAAGCCGTTAAAGTAAAAGACTTATTGAAATATTCACACTGGAATATATCAGCCTTGTTCTTAGTGTATTATACTAACTGGACTAATTGGCTAGCTAACTAGTTAAAATTTAGACCACTATCACACTGGAATATATCAGCCCTGTTCTTTATAGTGCATTATACTAACTGGACTAATTGGCTTGCTAACAAGTTGAAATTTAGACCACTATCGATCATTCGAAATTTGTCATCCAATAGAGACAGGCATGAGAAATCGAAAAAAATAAACCAAACAAAAAAAAACCCCAACAAAATAATAATTTACAAACATTGGTTCATTATAACTTAACAGTCTCTCCAGTGGCTAGCCCGCAGAACCCCATATTGACAATTGAACCGGTTAAACCGGTTAAACAGAATTGGGCCTAAAACATATCCTGGTGGCACACCTCGAAGTAGTTCAGCCTTCTTTTATACGAAATCATCAATGACAGCACAGTATCCACGGTTTTCAAGAAGTGATTGCAGTAGTTTTGCAGCCGAGTCAACGATGCCCAAATTCAGCCGCAGAAGCGCACTGGACACTGGACGGGTAGGAGATTTCCAACCAGGGTAAGGGGGTGGGGTAGCTGTGTGCCATCCCTTTTAAAATAGTGCCTTACCGTCCGAAATAGTATCCTCCATTATGAAAAAGTACCCTCGAAATTCGAGTTACCTCAAATACTCATTAAAATGTCCACGTCAGTATCATCATATTCCCATTGTCCTAATGACGATATTGTATCCTCTTTTCCTGCTGCCCTTCCCTTGTTCCAACCAGATCCTGCGACACTAATAAAAAAAAACAATCGCGCTCAATGTACGAATATACACCACCAACTACTCCTCGCTGCTGGTTTGCTTTCATCCTCAATGGGATCGACTGAATGTGGCTGGTATTTCTTTGATTCCCCTTTCGACTAGGGTGTGCGAAAGTCAACCTGTGCGTGAATCGGTGTGAGTATTTCATGCAACGACGGGGGGGGGGGGGTGTTCCCCTTGAACATTTTGAAAATTACATCGCCGTAGATGATATTTAGAGCACTTTTATTTCGTTGTCCAAATTTGTGGACAAACAAATGAAATTGGGTTTGAAGTATATTAGTTAACATATAACAACCATCAGAGCTACGGTATTGGCGGAGAGAGTACGTCTAGATTCGCCAGACTGGTTTCCCCATGTCAGTGGTGCGGGACGGATGGCCTTGCAAGGTAAAACTGTTCGAATGGGGAGAAAACCTGAGCGCGTGCACGTCAAAGCACACCCTTAGCAAACAAAAAGTAGGCTACCTAGTAGCTACAGCTTAATTCGGACATTCAATACAGTATTGACGGGTGTCTAGTACCTAATTACATAATATATGCGAACATTGATTTCAAAATCATGAATATTCACCAGAAAATTGACACTCAAACATCCAACAAAAATGTTAGGTAAAAGCGGGGAACGGAAAAAAATGAAATGGGGTTTAACGTCCTACTGTTCTGCTCCTATACTGGGCTAATGAAGAGGGGCATACGCCATACTGTGTGCTATGAGGGAAATTTTGCCCGGGCAGCGGCACTATGGCCTACTATAATATCGAATTCCAGCTGCCACGGGATCTTTTATGTGCCCGCCAATGTATACACGGGGCGTCCGTTTTTCGTCCCATCTGAACGACCAGGCAGCTGTCCTTGTCAGGGGGATCACGTGGCTAAGTGGGTAAGACGCTGGCTCGGTAGCCGGGAGGTCGGGTGTTCGATCCCTGCATTGGCCGAGAAACTTCATCCAGATTTTTCGGCGTGGTTCCCCCTTGTCAGTGATGCAGGACGGAGGGCCTGACAAGGACAACTGTCTAGACCTTCGGATGAGACAAAAAACCGAGGTCCCCTGTATACATTGGAATCCACGTAAAAGATCCCTTGGCAGTTGGAATTCGATATAAGAGTAGGCGATAGTGCCGCTGCCCGAGCAAAATTTCCCTCATAGCACACTGTATGGCGTATACCGGTCTTCATTAGCCCAGCAAAGGAGCAGAACAGTAGGACGTTAAACCCCATTTCATGTCCTTGTCAGGCCCTCCGTCCTGCACCACTGACAAGGGGAAACCACGTCAATCACGATGAACTTTCTTGGCCAGTGTTGGGATCGAACTCGCGACCTCCAGGCTAGCGAGACAGCGTCTTTCACACTTAGCAACCGTGGCTCAGAAAGAAACAAAAGAAATAATTGACATAAAAAGACTAACTACGTTTAGTTTTAGAGTTATTACCCTGTATCTCTCTATAGTTAAAGTAGCTAAGTCTCTAACTCAATATCATCCAAAATCTTCGACATTAAAAACACGATTTATTTGTCGCTTTAAATCAACGTTGATGTTGTGATCTTACCGGAAAAAGATGGGCTTCTGATATCCAATATTTAAGACAAAATAAACATTTTACCATTGGTACACGAATCGTGTACCATAATGCGTTTCGGCGCCATTTGGAACAAGGGACTCAAAGAACAGGGCTAGACATATTCCACAAGTCACGTCAAATGGTGACGCTATATTCTTATCTGGAGAGCATGCGCAATAAATACCATCGGTGTAGACTGGAAAACCCAGACGCTAGAGATTGCCATTCACATGACACTTCTGGCGTATTTCGCCAAACATAACTGATTAGAAATTACAGTAAAAACAGAAACGATTGAATGTAAATCAGTTTATATACATCCATATTACATTATTATATGCGTTGCGACCCATTTTTGTCAATTTCTAGGTCACAAATATTGGCGATTTAGCTCCTTTAAGTTCATCCTTTGTTGTTTTTCACTAACTTGGCCGGCTATAATCGTATAATAACATTTGAAGGCTAATCTGTAAACGTCTTCCGTTTTGGACTTGAAATGAGAATATCTACATGGCACCAGGTTTATCGCTTCGATAGACAATGGAAGATCTGAACCTGTGTTAGATAGAATTGTTCTAATTGCAATTGTATGTGGAGAAATCTAAATAAAATAAAAATTAATCGTTCGTGATGTTGAAAAGCAGGGATATACATAATGTTCAAGAGACAAAGACACCTATTGATTGTTAACGATTGCCGATAAATACTTACAGAATCATTGTCTTTAATCGCCCTAAAATAATGTCTGGGACGTGCTGGGGGGATGTAAGTTGTCATCAGATTGACTTAAGTGTTCATTATAGAAGATTTCGTCTATTGATTTCAGTTATTACCGCTTTTGTTTACTTCTTACATTGTTATGGTTTACTTAGTTACCCAGTATTTAACATCTGATAGATTTGAAATATATACGTGTCGTTGATGTAAGTGTCAGGAAGAAGCTTAGCAAATTGTATAGTTGAGTTGTTGCCCTCGATTGTCAGGGGGTCTGGCAAGGAACGACGTATAGTTATTCGGATAGGACGAAAAATCAAGGTCCTGTGTACACACTGGCGTACACGTAAAAGAACCCCTGGTTGTTGGAATTCTATATAAGAGGAGGCCGTAGTGCCGCTGCCCGGGCAACGTTTCCCTCACAGCAGATTACTGTATGGCGTATGCACCTATTCATTAGCCCAGTTTTTTTGAAAGGATCAACACGTTCGTTTGTTCCTGAAGTTTTACGTCCACTCCCAACAAGGGTGATGTCGTAGTCAATGTTTCCTAAGAAACTTGCCAGAAGAAGCCACAAAAATAGGCTTGATCCAGTATTTTGGGGAAAGCCACTATGTCTTTGCAGGGAAGCGCCCAAGTTGAAATTCATTAAAGGAGAAGCTTTGGGTATTTGAATCAACACAGTGCGACAGACTTTATACATGGAATACCGGCGAGTGAGTCGCTGCACATCCTCGGTATCCCCAGTGGTCTCATTCCGTTCTACTCCACTAACCCCTGGCTTAATCTATAGGGGGTGGGGGGGGACGTTTTCAAGTTATCCACCCTTATTGAGTGTGCTATTTTTATCGACCAATCAGGTTAATTGCAAATGAAGATGGCAAAGGGAAGTGACACAGAGCAAAAACTCTGTGGAAGTAACTTTCATCGGGTAAAGTAAGTAAAACGCAAAGGCTCCCTTCGAGATACAAGATTAGGAATTAGCCAGAAGGTAGCCTAAATGCGAGAAGTCCAAATTATACTAAATAAGTATTTATTAACAACAAATTACAAGTATTATATAATATGTTATTGAAGACTGGACGTTTATATATGTAGGTTCAAGAGTTCTATTGAGAATGTTGTTGATTGTTGTTTATTAAAGATTTAACGTCCAATACATTAAGTACGATATATATGGACAGATTGATTTAATTAAATTATTTACACTTAATGGGTTTCTGTGGAGAATCAAATTGCCAGGTTTAAGTTGAATAATAATAAACATCACAGAATGAAACATTTCAGACAAAGAACGAATAGTAACAATAATAACAAAAGTCAAACATATAGATGTTATACATATTTGAAATCAGCGAAACATGCTACAGATTTTGATAATAAGATTAAATATAAATGAATTAGAAATATATACATCATTTACATAAATCATTCAGTAAATGGACATATAAAAACGAAGGCGAAATGACTGGTTTGTAAACTGTCTTTTGATTGGTTCGCTGACTTAAGCTACAATCAAGGTTAGGGCAGATAATTTGAAATCGTGTAAACCCTATGGATTAACCCAGGGTAGAACGGAATAAGACACAGAGAGAGGGTTTTTGAGAGAGAGAGAGAGAGAGATCCGGTTTAACGTCGACACAAACTAGGTCATTTCGGGATTAACATATGGTTCAATTTTATTTCCATAATTCGCTTGCGCGTAGGGGTCTTTAGCAGTGGGAGGAACCCGGAGGATCCGGAGAAAACCCACGAGGTTGGACAGGCGACCCTACTCCTTGTCACGTACAACCGGGAAATCGAAACCACGCCAGTTGACTCAATGACAGACTTTATGATACAGGCGACCCTACCAGTGTAGTATAAGATAGATTTATTTGGCAGAAACATGTACAATATAATATATATTTATTTATGGTACAAATGTTTATTAAAAATAGTTTGTGGGGTCCATTTAATATTGCCCTCCCGCCCCGGCCCCACCCACCTGGCTTCAGCCCAGTCACTCCTCCCCCTTTTAATCCCGCCCTAGCAACTGGTCCCCAAACGCTACCTCTCTTGTTGTTCTTGTCGTAGAATTTTTGTTCAATATAGACTGCTTCCAAAACATGACCAAGGGCGCGGGAAGCTACCCTTTCAATTGGATCAAAATTCTATGTTTAACAAATTAGTATAGAGACTGAATGCATGGGGTTGTTTAAATAAACTTAGCGTTGCCAGATAATGAATATATACTGCATTTTGAAGGTTGGTCTTCAGGTTTTGTAGCCTAAGGGCAATAATAAATACGCATAATACCAAACCTAACTATGAATTTTGATACCACACTTTGCCGTACAATATCATGACAATTTTCGTAACAAATGTAAAACAGTTTTGTCCTTAGGGCCTGCATCGCATTCAGAGTTTCGGTGACAGGGGCAGTACTTTTTCTTATGGCGTATGGCGTAGGAATATTTGGTTAGCTGTGTCCATTTACCCCAAATCTTCTCATTTGACTCAGATAAACCGAAGAGTTTATGGTTTAATCTGATGTTTCCGCCGATTGATTTTTACAACATAGAAGCTTCATAAAACCAGCTTTAAAATGGTTGGACATGAGTGAATAAATTATAGGATCACAGATACTGTTTGAATACATCATCACCATAGCGAACATATTCCACTGATGTCTGACCTTTAAGCCAGCTAATTCCAGGAAATTTGTTACTGAGATTGGCGACCAGCATATCAAAAAGGAAAAGAAAATACTAGCGGAAACTTTGGCTAATCTTATATCCGATCGAGTTATGGTAATACTCGAGGATTTGTCACGAATACGTTTTGTGTTGCTCCGAACGGTGGAGAACAGCAAAGAATACAACGTCACGATCACTATAAAAGGCACAAAAACTGCCGACGTAATCAAAAACAGGGTGTAGGACATGCTTGATGGCCAGTAATGGGTACACGCTGCTTTAGCATAACTGTATTCAATGCTTCCCCAGTGAACTATTGGTGGAAAGGAAATGGCGATCGATATTATCCAAATAAAGATCACAGAACCTGGAAAATAGAATAATAATATTTTTTAAGACAAAGAAAAAATTTAATTAACATTTCGTATGACAAATTTAATGCATTAGCCTATAAGACATGGATGACAACTACTTCATTTATTCAAAGCTACGTTAAAGTAGCTAAGTCTTTAACTCAATATCATCCACAGTCTTTGACATTGAAAGCACAAATTATTTGTCAATTTAAATCAACATTGATGTTGTGAACTTACCGGGAAAAGATGGGCTTCTGATATCCAATATTTAAGACAAAATAAACATTTGACCACTGGTAAACGAATCGTGTACCAAAATGCATTTCAGCACCATTTGTAACAAGGGGCTTGAAGAACGACATATTCCACAAGTCATATCAAACGGTGACGGCATATTCTTATTTGGAGAGCATAAGCAATAAATACTACCGGTGTGGTGTAGACTGGGACAACCAGATGCTCTAGATAGCCATTAGATTGAGACTTCTCGCGTATTTCGCGAACATAACTGATTTGAAATTAGAGTAAAAACGGAAATGATTGAATGTAAATCAGTTCATATACATTCATATTACATTGTTATATACGTTGCGTTCCATTTGTGTCAATTTCTACGTCCGAAATATTAGCGATTTAGCTCCTTTAATACGAAGATCCTCTAACATAGCCACAGTTACGAATTTAACACTTTAGCTCACATACGGGTCAGAAAGCACGTATCGTTTGTCAAGAGGGAGATTTATGGTTCTAATCATCGAGAAGAATCAAAACGAAACATCGATTCAACAATGAATATGCATACGCACATCCCGTCCTTCTTGGCAGAGGCGTTCTTATTGTCACGTCTTCGGTGACTGATTCATCACGAGGTCATTTTGGAAGCTTCTATATCCGTTATCAATTAATGATGATTGGCTATCAAGTTATATCCTGCTTCAACAATGATAACGTCAGGAAACCGACCACCCAAACTATATTAATGGATAAAATTGATTCCAAATGTTGGTTTTTAAAGGACTGCAGAGATCATTGCTACGATAGCTGAGTAATACAGGTTTCCTGAATCGGAAGTGACGAACGCCAAAGGAAAACACTGACGACACTATTGTATAAGAATATGGCGCATTTGGTGGATAGCGTAATCTAAGCAATGTCGAAAACGGGAACGCAGAGGTAATAAAGGAAACTGTTTATGGCCGAATGGTTAGCACGTCCGCGCTGTATATATAAGGTCTGACATTCGGTCAACTGGCGTGGTTTCGATTCCTCGGCTGTGCGTGACAAGGAGTAGGGTCGCCTGTCCAACCTCGTGGGTTTTCTCTGGGTCCTCCGGTTTCCTCCCACTGTTAAAGACCCCTACGCGCAAGCGAATTATTGAAATAAAATTGAACCACGTGTTAGTCCCGAAATGACCTAGTTTGTGTCTAGTGGACGTTGAACCCCATTTCACTCTCTCTCTTCTTATGAAGCATCCAAGCGAATATTTACTGCGTATCAGTTTGGGAAAAATGGTACTCGAGTACGTCGTGTGACTTAAATAATGTGCATACAAGCTTCAGATGAATTATGATCGTATATAATTGCCATTCATAAATACGTCAAAGAGTATCTATTAGGGATTTCATGTAAATCCCTGGTTTTGGCAACTGCCTGGTGATTGCATAAAACCCCTGGACGATTTTTACATAAAAGAGACACTGCATATTTATTCGGTTATTTATTAAAACATAGTCTGCTATGAACGCCGATTGAAAAAGTTGACCTTCTTGAAACATCCTGGAAAGGGACAATTGGGATGAGACAAAAAACAAATAAACAATGTCCCGTGTACACATTGGCGTGCATGTAAAAGATTCCTTGGCAGTTGGAATTCGATATAAGAGTAGGCCGTAGCGCAGCTGCCCTGGCAAATTATCCCCCATAGCAAACTGTTTGCCCGTTTTCAATAGCCCAGTCGAAGCAAGAGAGTAGGACGTTAAACCCCATTTCACTTCTTGAAACATCCAGATCTGCTGTTAAACCCAACGAGGTTAAATCTGACGAACCTTGGCCACCAGAACTGTATTCCTATTCCAACATTTTGGCTGATATTTATTTTCTTGTTCTTGTTCTTCTCCTTCTTGTCAAAGCATCGAGGTGTGGGATGGCCGAATAGTTTAACGCGTGCACGTTAGATCATAAGGTTTGTTATTGAGTCAAGTGGCGTGGTCTCGAATCCCCACTTCTACGTTAAAGAGGTAGGCTCGCCTTTCCAACCGTCGAGGGTTTTCACCGGGTCCTCCGGTTCCCACTTTCCACGCACCACTGCTAAAGACCCCTACGCGCAAACAAATTATTGAAATAATGCCCCGGCATTGTCTAGTTTGTATCAAGGGGACGTTAAACCCCATTCCTTCCTCTTTCCCCACAAAGCCTCAATAATCACCCGACAGATTGAGTAAATTAATCAGCTAGTAGCCATTAATCAAGCTGTATTAATGATGTTTTCAGATTTAACTTAAAGTTTAAATTCTGTAAAGATGCATGTATCAGGATCTGCATTCAAATGGTATTTCATCGATCAAGGATGCTCGCACTACCACGCCCAAGGGAAAGGTGAAAGGTGAAAGATGATACGCTGGAAATACAATAGAGGTTTCACAAAATCGGAACATTTCAGTGATTTTGTGAAATCCCTGGTGGCCAGAGCGGTTAAAAGAAATCCCTAATTACACCGATTCCCTGAACATAATAGAGTGTGCGTATGTTTAATCTCATATCACATGCTATAAATCAATCTAATACACAAAGATCTAGCGAAAATTCACTGCTGATCAGTGTGGCTATAATATAAATAATACGGAAACCAAAGACGTTATTGTTCCGATTTGTTAGGTTCCGCCTGAACAATAAAACCATTATGTTGACGAGGCTTAAACCCTATACGCCAGTCTGTTCCATTCCTTGAAGGAAACATAATATAATCTTTCCTGTCGACATGAATGGGTTGAACATGTGGATGTATAAGATAATGAGAAATAACCAAGTTTGTTAATTGCCATATTTGCTCATTTCTATAATATTATCAGATTGCTACCCGTCTCTTCACTAAACCGGGTCATTGCATGAGTTATCTTCATAAAACATAATGGACATTTTGTGTTTTTTCTATCTTAAAGTGGCGTATGCTGTTATTCACTTCCGATTCTAGCCTATATTTGTTATAATTGGTGCAGAATGACATCTGCTCTTTATTCATTCTGGGAAATTCGACACATACTATTTCCCCCTTGTCAGTGGTGCAAGACAAGGGACAACGTGTAGTCTTTCGGATGGGACGTGTACACGTTGACATGCACATAAAAGAACCCTTGATAGTTGTAAGTCTAATGCCGCTACCCGGGCAAAGTTATCCCTATAACACAATCGGTGCAAAAATAAAATGAAATGAAATGGGGGATAACGTCCTACTGTTCTGCTCCGAACTGGGCTAATGAAGACGGGCATATGCCATACAGTATGCGCCATACAGTATGCTATGAGGGAAATTTTGCCCGGACAGCGTAACTAGGGCCTAACCTTATATCGAATTCCAACTGCCAAGGGATCCTTTACGTGCAAGCCAATGTGTACACGGGGCATCGGTTTTTCGTGCCACCCGAACGACTATATGTAATCCCGTCCAAGGCCCTCCGTCCCGCACCACTGACAAGTGGGGACCACGCCGGAAAATACCGATGAACTTTCTCGGCCAACACAGGGATCGAACACGGAACCTCCTGGTTAACGAGCCAACGTCATACTCACTGAGTCACCGTGGCTCCACAACAGTTACACTGTATGTCATGATCGTGTCGTATGTGATGATCGTGTCTTAATGTTGATATTGCGTATTATCTGTAATCTATATGACTGGCGATGTGTAAACATGTATTGTAATAACAATGGTAAATCATTTTAATCTTTTCATTAATCTGGATTCAAATGAAATTATCCAGGATTTTTCGATCAGAAAATCGAGAAATAAAAAATACTATATTTAATTCAGCATCATGCAAGCTTTGTTTCAATTTGATGAAAGATAACAAATTTATTTACAATTTAGTATGGTTTTTATTTCAAATTAAAAATAGCGAAACCATCAGTTCTTACTTTGGAAATGAAATGGGGTTTAACGTTCTACTGGGCTAATAAAGACGGGCATACACCATACAGTGTGCTATGAGAGAAATTTTGCCCGGACAGCAGCACTACGGCCTACTCTTGTATCGAATTCCAACTGCCAAGGGATCTTTTACGTGCACGCCAATGTATACAACGGACCTCCGTTTTTTGTCCAATACGAACACCCGACCTCCAGGCAAGCAAGCTAGTGTCTTACCCACTTAGCCATCGTGGCTCCCTTTCTTACTTTGGCGAGAGAAAGAGAGAGACATGGGGTTTAACGTCCACTCGACACAAACTTGGCCAATTCTGGACTAACATGATTCAGTTTTATTTCAATAGTGGGAAGAAACAGGAGGACCCGGAGAAAACCCACGAGGTTGGACAGGCGAACCTACTCCTTGTCACGTACAACCGGTGAATCGAAATGACACCAGTTGACTCAATGACAGACCTTATAATACAAAGTGGGAAGAAACAGGAGGACCCGGAGAAAATCCACGAGGTTGGACAGGCGACCCTACTCCTTGTCAGGTACAACCGGTGAATCGAAATCACACCAGTTGACTCAATGACAGACCTTATGATACAACGCGCACGCTCTAACCATTCGGCCATCCACCCCCTTTCGTACTTAGGGGCGCTTAAGGTGTGAATCCAGCCCAGATGTGATGTTAGTATAACATGCAAATGATCAAAAATTTAATGTTAAGGAATTTTGGTTGCATCTCAAAATAATTTCTCGTCAATGTTACACTATTTAAAGGAGCTAAATCGCTAATATTTTGGATCTAGAAATTGACACAAATGGCTCGCAACGCATATAATAATGTAATGTGAATGTATATAAACTGATTTACATTCACTC